AGAAAAAGTTTTCATGATAGCAAAGAAGTACTAAGAGTAAAACATAAGATAAATACTGGAATGGCAAGTAAATGACCAGCACGTCTAACAGTTTGAGGATAGGATATTGCACAAAGTTCTAGTGTGTTGTGGACATGCATGATGACCGTGACAGTTGCTGGTGGCTAGGCGTCTCTTGTGGAACTGAGCTACAGCTATTTCTTTGTTGGATGTGGTTTGAAGAAACTACCAGCATGAAGAAAGCCTGGAACCTGCTTAGTTGATCAGGGCCTGGGTGAAGTAGTCCAGTGGCAGCTCATGGTGATCAGGACTGGGATACAGGATGTAGGGTTGGACAGATCCCCAAATGTTAGAGGTAGAACCAAAAGGACTTAGTGATGTGTTGGAAGTGAAGTGTGAATGAGCAGGAAGACCAAGGCTTGAGGCTTGGATGGAAAGTGGTGTCATTTCTTCCTACTAGGACAGAGAATGCTAGTGGAAGAATAGGTTTAAGAAGAAAGCATAGCTTCAGTTTGGGCTGTGTGGATTTAAAGTACATTGGACATCTACGTGGAAGTTCCTAACAGATCTAAAAATAAGAGTTGCTGTAGACAGGTGGCCACTGTGTGCCTCATTGGCCTAGGTTGCTGAGGCTATGGAAGGGTGTGATGCCGTGAGTGAGGAAGTTTATAGCTCTGGTTAGTCCAATTTCTTTTTCTCCCCCCTCCCCCTTTTTTTCTTTGTACTGGGAATTGAACTCAGGACCTTGCACTTGCCAGGCAGGTGCTATGCCACTGAGCTATATCTCTGGCCCAGGTTGGTCCCAATTTCTAAGTTTGTATAAAGCTGAAGTCTTTCTTATGGTTGTCATCTTTCTGGACTTGGTCTTCTTTTGTCGCTTAGCATCTCTAGCCATTACGGCTGAAAATATCTCTTTGCCAGGATTCCAGACTGACCAGACAAACATAATGTCCAGGCCATGGCACACCTTAGGCCAAATCTGGGTTAGTAAGTAGGATGAGAAAGCAAGAAAGAGAGGCTGCAGCTGGCAAGGGAGTAGGTCCCTGAGAACGAGCACATAACCTCCCTGGGCCACTGTTGTGCTGTGTGTGTGTACACGGGTGTGTGGCCCTGTCACCCTACTGGGGCACAGCCAGCAGGAAAGGGACAGGAAAGCTAGGAGGAATTTCTCGTTGCCTCTTAGACCTCCAGTTCAGAGGTGAGAAGAGGGGTGGTGGCGGCGATGGGTAACTTGTAGGGACAGAACAGAAAGACT